CTCCCTGGACTCACCTGGAAACTGCCATCCACTTTTTCAACTGCACTATCCCAGAGGGCAAAGCCTCATGGCTGCTTTACTGGTCCGAAAGAACACAAAAGGCAACTGAGTCTGTGCCAAGAATTGAAATTGAGTTAGGACTTCACTACATACTACAGCTTTCCATATACCAAGGGCTTCAGATTTTAAGTTCTTTTTTAAAATTATCATTATTATTTTATTTTATACTGGTTTATTTACAAAGTTGGAATATATTGTTTTTCAAACCAGATCTTTCTCATTTCCTTTACCCGCCTCCACTCGTCAAATTGTGGGACCCTATGATTAACCCCCTCCCCAGATTTTAAGTTCTTAATGCCTTTTTACTATTGAAAAAGAGTAGTTCTGGTGGCCTAGTGTAAGAAGTATTTTATTCACAAATTCATTGAGTTGTAGTCGACACAATAGCACCTAACACAACAATACAAAGTGCACACTTACATACCTACTTAGATTCTATAACCAACATTTTGCTTTGTTTGCGAAGCACCTTTATTTGCTGTTGTTTACAGTTACTCATTTATTAGGGAATTAACATATTCAGGAACACTCAGCATACAGTTCTTCATTCAGGGCAACTTCTCTCTTTAGCAGTGCAGGAAGGTATTTCTGACTATTGGCTTTGCAGTCTGGTTTTTGCTTTGTTTAAGCAAGTGTTAGTTACCATGAAGTGCTTTTAAGGGCTAATTTTACTTTTACTTTTTATTTTACCTAGTGACTAAGGCAAGATGAATCTATCTGTTTCAATACATATGTTGTTGCTGATTGCTTTCAAGTCAAGCACAACTCATAGCAACCCTATGAAAAAAAGGGCTGAAGCCCCTCTATAACTATCGACATTTATCAAAGAGGGGAGTAGTAATAAACATATACCAGCTGATTGATCCACACTCCCTAGGTGTTAGATGTTTTCCCGGGTATGGAAAAAAAGTTTTACTATCTCCAGTCATTAAAAAAAAAAAAAACAAACAACAAAAAACCTTGCTATTTTGTAAGATTGTTGTTGTTTAGTGTTATCGAGTCCACTACATCTCATAGTGACCCTATGAACAATGGCTCTGAATTTTACCATATCCTGAGCCATCCTCACCATCTTCCTCTCTTCTTGACCTTCCTCTCTTCCAAGCATAGTGTTCTTCTCCAAGGACTGTTCCCTCCTGGCAGCATGCCCAAAGGATGTGAGATGGAGTTTCATCATTCTTGCTTCCAAGGAGAACCCTGGTTTCACTTTCTCAAGGACAGACCTGTTTGTTCTCGTGGCTCTCCATGGCTGCGTCAATATTCTTCTTCAGCACCACAACTCAAAAACTTCAATTCTTATTCTGTCATCCTTGTTGTTAAATGCCACTGAGTTGTAGATGACTCATAGCAACCCTATGAACAAAAGACCTGAACATTTGTGTAACTTTCATCGTTTCTCCAAGTTCATAGGGTTTTCGGAGGCAAGCTGTTTCAGAAGTGGATGTCACTCCTGCTTCCAAGCTTGTTTTAATCAGGGAGCTCCACCAAACACTGTCCACCATGGGTAACCATTATTGCATTTGATGCATCCGTGTCACAGTGTTTAGCATCATAGCAACCATGAGTTACTCCAGTACAGCAAATTGACAGACCAGTGCTATACCACTTAGAAGAATGTTTGACCAAAACCAATTAAAATCAGGCCTAAGGGCGAGCTCTGGTGGCCTAGTGGCAGGAAACTACACTGCAATCCCAGAGGTGTGCGGTTCAAATCCACCAGATGCTCTGCTGAAGGAGGAACAATCGCCTCCTGTACCAGTCAGATCCAATTTGACAGTACACACATTAAAAAAAAAAAATTAAAATTAAATAAAATCAGGCCTAAGGATGACAACTATCATCCTTAGTCACTTGGAAAACCAACAGAAAATATTTCTAAGTCAAAGAGCTATTCATTCTGTGTGTTCATTCATTGTGACTAACTCACACATCATTTAGAGAGGAATCCAGTCTTAGATTTTTCCTCCTTCTCATTCCACTTCCATCCCTAGTTAGTCATCATTTCTTGCCCAGTCTATCTGAGGTATCCCTTCTATTCATTCTCTTCCAGTACCATCAACCTGAAAGAGATCCTGAATGTCTTATCTCACCTGCTTTCCTATCCCCTCCGACATTTTCATGTGCCTGAGGAACAGTGCATCCAATCAAAGTATTAATCAGTCAGCCAGCTGATTTGACTCATAGTAACAGGAGTGGCATCCACTTCTTAAACAATATGAAATTCTATGAACTTTGATAAATGTCGAGAGTTACAGAGGGGCTTCAAGCCTCTTCTTCATAGGGTGGCTATGAGTTATGCTCAACTCGAAGGCAATCATCAACAACAATCTTACAGGGAAGAATAAGTACACATGTTCCCAGGGCTGTAAGTAGACGCCCACCTTCTTCCTCCTAAGAGTAGTTAGGTAGGATCTTGCTACCACCAACCTTTTGAATAGCATTGCTAATCAATTCAGCACTGTTGTGTACCCTCCAGTTGGAAGGGTTGTTGTTTGTTGTTATGTGCCGTCGAGTCGCCTGCGACTCATAGCGACCCTATGTACAACAGCCCCCTAAACTCCACTCTGTCCTCTGCCAATCGCACTGTCTCTAACACTCCCATCCCAATTATCCCAGTCACTGAATCAATCCACCTCACAGAGGGCCT